GAGCGGGCTCTTAAGTTGAGCTAGAAAAGATTTAACAAGATCCCGTGTGGAAATTTGAAGTTGGAAGGGCTGAGACTATAGAGAGGGCAGTTTTTTAACAATAAGAGCACTTATTAGATTAATAAGTATTTTGATTTTTTTTATCAGCATTGTGCAGCTTTAAACCAAGGATGTTTTTCTAAAGCAAGGTCTCTATTTTTGACGGAACTTTAGTATGGGGAAATCTTGTGAGCTGTGTGTAGCAGAGGATGGAGCAGGTGAACACAATGGAGCTTGTCTCTTTTAGACATATAGTCAGGAAAGCTATGTCATCTCAGGAGGCACACTTTGGGTATGCTCACCTTCCTTCCCTTGGCTCCCCCAACTTTCTTGACGTAAAAAGACTTGATGACCTTGCTGATTAGCCTTTGGCTGTATGTTTTCCTGTGTATTTCTCTTATAAATTATCCCCAGAATGCAATCGGGGCTCCATGCTTCTGTTTTGCATCCAAGAGATTGAGTTGGAGCTTTGGAAGGTGACAGTTGCGATGAGAATTCCTGTTCATACATCTGAGTACAGGTTTGAGGTATGTGGTAGGTGTGGCTGGAGATAGGGGTATATGATATCCACACTGTATTAGTATGTTTAAGCACACTTTAAGTAATTTAATACATTAACATTTCTAAGCTTTCTTCTATGCTATGTGTACCCTTAAGAGATAATTATCAGCATATTTTTGCTTTTATAGATTTCATGGTAGTTGAAATCTTAAGTTCTTTGGGATGAATGAATGATTCTTTATTTATTCAAAGCTTGTTGTAAAAAATCCTTGTGTTAGCCCTGTATTCTCAGAGTGGAAAAACAGCAGGTATAAATGATCTTATTAAATAATTTGCAGCATGAACAGCAAATCATAGTCATCTACAGGTTTGCATATCTACAAGACATTTCACTTCTACGTAGTGCTCTCTCTCTCTCTCTTCCAAGTCTCCTTATCAATACAGAGGTGAATTTCCTATCTGATGATTAACTGCTCTTTGTTAGTGAGATGTTCTGCTCTGGAGGGGAAGGAAGAGAGTCTGCTGATGGAGTGAAGGGCTGAGGACAGCTGCAGTGCAGGTTTGCTAAGTGACTGAGCACTTTGTTTCCCAGTTCTTTATTGCTGTTGCCTTGCCTAAGTTTACTCTGCCTTCCAATTAAACTTTCTTGAGACCAAGGATGAAGAAACTGATGTATTCTACCAGAGCCTGGAAACATAAGACAGTGGAGTAGTTAAGAATGGCAGGAAGAATAAGCTTGAAAAACTGCTTGCTTTGGAGTCCAAGAGTGGTAGTAGGACAGTATTTTGGGCATAGGCATAGGAAGCTGAAAATGCCTATTTCTTTTGGATCTTTAGAGTAGTTCTTCTATCTTTCTATACTAAAGACCCATGCTTATATACGTAAAAAATACAAATGTGGCAGAGTTCATCGTTTGGAAAATAATTGCGTAGTATTATTCAAAAATACGTGTAAGCAGAAACCAATCTTATAATTGATGTATATGCCCAGCAGATGGTCTTAAGGGTCTTCATTAGACGAGCAAAATGTAAGTTATACGTTGATCTCCCTCTATAAGCCAAAAGGAGAAAAGCTTTCTATCTTCTTCCTGTTTAGAACAGCTATTTAAGCTTGCATCTTGGCCTGTCATGGGTATGATGGAGTGGCCCAATTCTATGTGCTTATCCATGCAGCAAGGCATAGCTTCAAGAGCATAGTCAGGTGCTCACAAGCTGAATTCCTCTGTTTAGATATTTACGTCAGCCTGCACTGGAATTTCTTTATAATTAAATTCAATTATTCTAATCTGCACCTTTTTATTTTTGCTGTAGCGTTTCCCAGGGTATGCTTTTGAATTGCTTAGAAACTTTAATGGTTTTCAGAGAAGAAACAAAATTCCGTCATGGCTTATACTATATTCCACAAGTGAGTGTTAACAGCAGTCTCCTTAAATGAGCATTTCTTTTTTTTTTTCTTTTTTTTTCTTTTTTCCTTTTTTCCTTTTTTTTGAGTGGCTCTGCATCTTCACTTAAATGTGTTTCTGGAATATTTAAATTCTGTGGGGTCTCAGTAAACAGTCTCACTGTTGACTTGTAACTTCTCTTTTCAGTTGCTCTATATCTTGATTCCAGAGGAATTTGTCATAGCTTTTTTGTGAGAAATTGCATTTCACCATAGCCTTTTAGTGTGAGGGAGACTGTGCTTTTAGGAGTAATCCTATTATGCATAGGAGTAACTTGTGGTCTGAACGCGACTGAGGTTTTCAGTGTCTCTCTCCTGGGACTTCAGGTTTTTGATTAGACTAATGCCCTTACGCCTGCACAACCTAGGAAATTTTGGAGGTGGCAATGTATCAGTAAATGAGAGGAAAGCCCCTTTACAATAGGGATGTCTTGAATCTGTTATATAATATAGTATAGGGATGGAGCTGGTGCAGGAATTGCATGTAGCACCAGTCTGTGCCTAGGAAGTGATCAGAAGGGTACAACAGTGGAGCTTGAAGGAATTGTTTTTTGTATGTATGGTACTGAACTTTCAGAGTATTATCTGAATACCATAGAAGCAAATGTGCATGACCATGGGAATGTTGTTTCCAGCAATTCTGTTACTAGATTTCTGGGAGAAAGCACTGTTTGAAAGCAAGCCGTTTGTCATTTGGAGATGGTATTTCTCATTTGTGGTTACTGCCTGACAGGGCTGATAGATTTTTGAGCAATTGTATATGGGTTGAATCTGAGCTTGTTTCCTGTTTTTTTTTTCTTTTTTTTTTTTT